TGTCATCTACCCATACTGACAAGAAGGCAGCTCACAATCTTCTGCATTCCCATTAATGGATTACCTTTCCAAGGCACTGTCAAGAGCAAAGGATGCTGAAACAGACTATCACTCCAGCAATATTTACTTAAAGCAGAAAGGGTCATTGTAAAGGGCAGGCTTTCAACTGAACGTACATTGTTTTCATCAAGGAGGTATTCCAAACAGAAAGAGGATAGTGGATTAACATAAAGAAGCAACAGGAGATAATGACCTAGAAACATTCAACTGCCCATAATAGCTGAGCTAATATTGTTGTATGAAAGAATGAAAGAATAAAGCATCTTGGAGCATATGGGTAATGCCTGTAGTGAGTCACTCAAACCAACCTCCTGAACCAGATCTCTGCTTTCCATTCTGCTTTCCATTCCCTGGTCTAAAATGATTAGAGAATGTTTCAGGATATAGCCATATGAAGCTATCAATCTGCCATGCCAGACAATAAGAGCACGTTTCCAGAACTGGTTGCGTAGTGTGAATATTAGATAATCATTTAGTTTCATGCTTGGCAGAGATCTAAGAATTACACCCTCACTCCCCCAGTGTTAATAGCTTTGGGAGAGGATTCCTTAATCTTTTGCTGGTTCTCAGGTTACTACTACAGAAGGAAGGAGAATTACCGCCTCAGAATGCAGAAGTCCTGCTAACCCTTTTAGGGCAACAGCAACTAAACTGCTTCATCTTCCTATCACCTGAATCATACACAGGATCACCAGGGAAATCACTCACCATAAGCATTGCATTGGCCAGATCCACGTGGCCTCGCATCCACATCGCACACTTAGAAACAAACGCCATTACAAAAGCCAGAATTGCTTAGGAGACCAAACCTTTGGGGCATCTGTAATTGGAGGCTTGAATTTCAAGTTTCTTCAACTCAACATTTATCCCTGCCAGCCTCCCTTTCTCCCATTGAAGTTACAGCACTGTATGAACAAGCAAGTACTGTTTTGCAAATGTGTACTTGTGCTCATTCCCCACGGCCATCATAATTTTAAGCCAGAGAAGGAGAAACCACAAACCGCCCATTTCATGAAAACTCATCTCATTGGCAACTGTCATCAGGATACTAAGCTCAGGCATATATTTTGTCAAATTGGTTTATTTTCCCTTTTGCCCTTTTATTTTGCTCTTGTTTCTTTTTTGCCCACAGGAACAAAATATGTGCTCCCCATTCTCAGCAAACACTAACGATATTGCCTTTCTGATACAGGTTTTTATATGCAGATATAGACCAGGCTTCCTCAAACTCAGCCATCCAGATGTTTTGAGACTACAATTCCTATCATCCCTGACCACTGGTCCTGCTAGCTAGGGATCATGGGAGTTGTAGGCCAAAAAAATCTGGAGGGCCGAGTTTGAGGAAGCCTGTTATAGATCATCAGTGGCTACCAGGGCAGAAAAGTTTTCTATGCATTCCCTATAATTTTGTTCTGTAACTGTTTAGTGGTATAAATAAAAGCTAGGATCACGTATCTTTTTGATCCAAAAATCAGAGAATAATGCCATCTCTTTTGCTACTAAGTTTGGAGCATTCCATAATTTTAAACCATTCTGCAGCTTTAAACTAGCCAAGGGTGGGGTTGTTTTTGCCTTCTGAACACTTGTCTGAAGCTCAGTCTGAGCACTGAACAGCTGCCATATACACATGCAAATATGCAGTGGTCTCCTCCCCAAAGGAATTATGGGAACTATATTTTGCATGTACTCCATAACAAATAATAATGGGAGACACTGAATTTTAACTCGTGACATGACTGTTGGAGGTGGGTGTGGGGACTATAAGAAATAAGAACCTGTATGCTGAATGTGCTTACTTGGAGGTGTTTATTTCAGAATTGCATCCACATGCATACCTGTGTTCTTCCTTCCATAAATCCCTTTCCCCTTGTCTACCTACTGGAGGTCCTGGTGTGGACCAGTTTATCACTGGCCGCTCTAAAGCATTCTAGGATCCTGGTCTGGATCATGAAATGGATCTGGCATAGACACAACACTTTGGGCTTTGCCTCATTCTGCATGGGTGGTGCTTCTTAAATGGGTGGTGGCAATGGTGAACTAGCCAGAGAACTTCAGTCAGAGACAGAGGTGCAGGTGCAGGACATGTCAGAAGCAGAGGAAGAGGCTGTTCAGGTGAGGGGCAGGCCCCACTGTCTCCTAGAACTGGGAGGAGCTTGAAGAGGGAAGCACAGCAACGACTTCCATGCAGGAGAAATCTCATGCTACATGTGCGCACCCCGTCAGACAAGGGTCCATAATCCCAGGGGTGGAGGGTGGGGTAATGGTCCTACTATTGCTTCAACTGCTCCACCAGGCACGAACCTGGAAAAGTTAATGCCAGCTACGTATTTGCCAGACGTATGTGTGTATTTGATGCCACTTAGGAGCTGCTGTAAGTGCATTCTTTTGTCAGTAAATAATTAACTCTTGGAGGTTTTTCCTCCTTGGCTGGGTGTATGCTGGACACTCATGTGTAAAAAAACACAATGAAATGATTCAACACCTGAGCAGTTAAAATTCACTGGCGCACATACCTGTCTGCTCTTATGACTTCTCCAGTCACATTCACCAAGAGGTTTTCAGCATGTATTTCACCCCACAGATGGTATTAATATTTGAACATGTTATGCTGGGCAAAAAACATAAAGTTGCATGTCCAAAGTGTTGCAAATTGACAGGCTGAAATGAAAACCCACGCACGTTGAGGAGAAGAAAAGGGTTTATTGTCTTTATTGGCCAGTAAAGTTGACCCAGAGGAATCAGTTTCAAATTCTGAGCCGTGCTTACAGAGCGGGCGCTCTCTGATAGACAATTCTTAAGGCATGAATATGCATAAGCTTCTGTCCAATCCTAGAATTACACATTCTACTAATGAGATCCTTATATGGGCAACTCTAATTGCATATGTATCAGAGGCAGAACAAAGACTCTTTTTAAGTATCACCTTGCAGCACGTGAAGAAGAGTGGGCCTCTTCTTATTATGCACACACTCTGGTATGTGGTAAACAAGATAAGGAGTAAGGGCCGCTCCTGGTACCTTAAGGACAGAATGTTTCCTGATACAATGGGGCAGACAAAAGACTAATTTAATCAAAATGGGAAGTGCTGTTGTTTAGTCTTTTAGTCGTGTCCGACTCTTCGTGACCCATGGACCCATGGGCCCATTGACCCATGGACCAGAGCACGCCAGGCACTCCTGTCTTCCACTGCCTCCCGCAGTTTGGTTAAAATGGGGAGTAGGCAAGCACAAATCTTAGAGAAACACTGTTCTCCAGCAGTTTGATTGCAGATCCTGCCATCTATTATCGTGGGTGTAGTTACCTGATATGCCCGTGAAAACCCTTCTCTTGAATAGATTACCCTGGCCTTTTCTTACCATCACAAGCCCCAGGTGAATGGAGGAAGGAGCGCTTGTAAGCTTGGTATATGATACAAAGTCATAGGACAAGTGTGGACACACACTCAGCACGGCACATATGCCCTTGCTGCCCAGGGTGGGCACATGGGGCACATCCCCAAGGAGGCGGGGCGCAAAGGGCGCCCTCCGCGGGTCACAGTTCAGGGTTAGGAGAGGGGCGGGGAAGCTGCTGCCCACTCTCCTCCTGCTCTGGTCTGACCTGGCAGCGGAGCTGCTGCAGCCAGGCAGGTGGTGCCTCGCAGCCAAGGCAACAGCACCGCTGCTGCCGACTCTCCTGCTTTCCGCTGCCGGGGCAAAAGTGACTTGGTGGTAGAGCTGCTGCAGCGGCTGAGGAGGGTGGACAGCAGCGCTGCTGCCGACTCACCTGGTCTCCTTCCCCAGGTCAGGCCTGACCCAGACCCCACGGAGCTGCGCCAGGCAGAAGCGCAGCAGCTGAGACGCAGCTCCTTCTGGTGCAGAGTCAGGCTGCAATGAAGGAGCCTGCTGTGGGGGCACCTGTTTGCACCCCCTCTCAAAATTGGGCCCGGAACCATGGCACCCACAGCACCCCTCTGCTTGCTGCCCATTCCAAATTGCCCAGCTGAAGCCTTCTTAGAGGGGGAGTTGGTTGCAGACCTGTTTGCTATGCTTTGTTGTTTGCATTCTGTAGCTGGTGTAGCTCAGGCGCCCGGAGTGTCGCGTGCACCCTCCACCCAGGGGCAGGGCAAGCCACCCACTGGGTGGGATGAGCTGGGGCAGGGCACGCTGCATCGAGCCTCACCACTGCCCCCCCCCAGCTGCAGGGTGGCTAAGGGAGAGGCAATGGGCGGATGCAAACCCTATGCTGTCATTCTGGGCAGCATGGAGCCTGCAGATGCCCAAGCCACGGTGTCACATAGCCCATAGCCGTTTTGTCACCCCTTCAGGGATGACGCCCGGGGTGGCCCACACCCATCGCACCCCCCTTCCTATTCCACTGCACACACTCCATTGCTGGGACCACCTGCATCTATTTTCAAATGGGCACCCCATGTGGGTGATGCAGATTCAGCCAGCAATGAGCCTTTATTTTCAAAACGAAACCAGTTTCTCAATAAGCACTTGTCAGGGACAACGAATATATGCAATAGCTCTAGACTGTGGGTGGACTACATAGAACTAACAAGTACCCAGCTTACATTGATTGTTGAATAAAATGTTATTTGTTCACAGACTAACTGAATTAGTCAATTATTAAAAGCAAATGAGGTCACTTATGTGAGCATAACAGTTTTGTGAATAGTTATTGTGAGACTCTGGAGCACTTCTGTTTTATACAACAATATGCTTTCTTTTGCTCTGGTAACTACCTTATCAGGGTCTGAGTTTATCTGCAGTCTAGTGTTGCCAGATTAACCACTGAGAGTCAGCTGCCTTCATTTAGCACATGCTTGAGGTCATTGTGGGCTGCAGTTGATGGGGAGAGGGAGCTCAGTATCCTTACCAGCACTGCAACGAAGGTCAGAAGCCTCAGCACCAGCTGCAGGACCTTGCGTGGCTGCTGACTGGTCAGGAGTGTGGTGTCCAGGCGCTGGTGACAGTACGCTGTGCATCTGTAACTCTGCTGGATCAGGGGGCAAACAGTATGAGCCTATAAATGTCTACTCAGAAGTAAGTCCCATTGATTTCTCTGTACAAGTGAGTATACAGTTACAGACTTAAAGACTTAAGAGCAACCTTCCTCTGGGTTGCTGATCCAGGTAATCAATAAGAAAGGCAAAACAAAAACAGGCAATCTTTAACTTTGGGCTTCTTCTTGGAAAGAAACATGGTACTAAGAAATGACAATGACGACATCTCAGCAATTGGCACCAAGATTGCTAAGTGCTGCTCAGGAAACACGGCCAAGTTTAGATGATCAGGCCTAAAGAGTCAGCCTCTGGTTCAGGAACAAGCAATTTCAGCTGTTTCTAAAAATGTAATTCTCTCTTCTTCTTTAAAATAGAGCTAGCTCAGCAGTGGTGTAAGCCAAATCCCTGTATTTATTCACAACCAAGACTGAGAACCACAGCTTTAACTCTAGTTTATCACCACAATAAATTTTAGGGTTGGCTTTTGCACATATGAAATCATAGTAATACTTCCCCTCCTTTTATATCCTTTTAATTCTGATGCCTGCTTTGTGGGATAGAATATTCTATATGGAGCTGTGTGAGAACAGAGATGTGCATTGTAATGAACTGAAAGCGACAGAAAGAATTCTTGTGGTGCCTTAAAGATGCATTGTGGCATAAGCACTAGTGACTCAGGTGCTGTTTGCTTGGTTTTTGTTTGCCTGTTACATTTCTATCCATTTCAGCCACATTCTCTGGGCAGTCAACAAATGTAATCTGAATTAATTATTATTTTTAATTGATCTGCCCTCAAGCTTGGTGGAAACTCTAGATGTGGGGTCTCCCCTGCCAAGTGACTTTGTTAGACTCTTCATATTCAGCTGCCAAGGTTTACATTCATTCATGGCACTGTAGAATAACATACCACTCAACAGTCCTGCTTTTACTGGGACATCCTGGATTTACAGAAGCCATCCTGACTTACGTTTGAAATCCCAGGTGCCCCACTTCTGCCCCCTGACCTCCATTTCTGTGGTGGCTGCAGCAGCCGTGGTGGCTTCCACAATGGCCTTTGCTGCTACCACCACCACATACTCCCAGAAGCAGGCGCAGCACTTCTGGCGGCCACAGTGAGGCAGAGGAGGCTTCGAGAAGGCTTAGGTGGCCAAGGCCAAGCTGTCGCTGCCACAGTGGCAGAAGACGAGATAGAGCTGGCGAGAGTAAAGTGGCAGTGGGTGGGGCAGCAGCAGTCAGAGGAGGGGCAGCATGGTGTGCGGGGAGGGGGGTATAGAATAAGACGACAGTGCAGACATCACCTCAGAGGGGTGGTACAAGCAGGAGAACTAGTCAGTCTTCAGAAGCCTTTTGCACCTTGTTAAAGCAACATTGCCCCTTCTGCCAGTGCCCTGACTATGCCATCACTCTGCCTCACTTGAACTTGACTCTGCCACTCCACTAAGAAGTACCACAACAGTAGCTGGCTGCCCTGGTAGCCCAGAGCCCAGCTGGGCCAGGGCAAGATATTAAGAGTATCACTCAAGAGAGAATGGCACTGTCTGGGAACCACCTGCTCAAACACTTCACTGCCCAGTAAGGGGATGTTCACAACCAGCCTGCCATTATTAACATTTTTTCTGGCTGCAAGTGAGATTTCTTCAGGAGCAGGCTAATACTGCCTCTTTTAAATTGGCTGGGATGGTGGGACTGCTATCTCTCACAATTCTGCAGTCTTTTAGAAATGCACACATACAGGCAGCCATGAAATAAGGCAGCCATAGTCCTGCAGAACCCAATTATGTACAGTGTAGGTATTCAATCATGAACTTTTGTTTTATTTCACATACAGTCATACCTTGGGTTAAATATGCTTCAGGTTGAGCATTTTCAGGTTACGCTCCACGGTGACCCAGAAGTAACGGAATGTGTTACTTCTGGGTTTTGCCACTCACGCATGCGCAGACGCTCAAAATGACGTGACGCGCATGCACGGAAGCGGCGGATTGCGACCCGTGCATGCGCAGACTCGGGTTGCGCTCGCTTCAGGATGTGAACATGGCTCGGGAACGGATCCCGTTCACATCCAGAGGTACCACTGTACACTGCTCCGGCTCAGGTTATGGACAACAGAGGTCGATAAAGCTACTCTGAGTAGCAGAATAGTTCATAAATAATATGCTAGAATGAATCTTACAGACTTATGAAATCCACACGATTTCATGTTTTTGAGGCCTGAGAATTGCCTCTGCATAAAACCCAAGAGACCCATGTTTCTATGGCTTGGTGCAACATCCCCTTCCTAGCAGATATAGTTTCCTTTCTCTTTCTTCCCCTTTCCTACCCTCTCCTGTGCGGCTCTCACGGTCTTCTTCACCCCTCACTCTGGGAAAAGACGATTGAGGAGTTGCTAAGCAACCACAACATTGCTACTCTTCATCTATCAGATATATTCTATTGCTTCAGCCTTGGTCAAGGTTATGGACAAGGCTTGCAGCTCTACAGCTCCATGAACAACATTATCAAAATAAAGATTTTATGTTAAGAAGGGAGAGACATGGGGTTAATATTGAATTGAGTCCTTGCTTTGATCAATGGTTTCTTAATGTTTCTTGTACATCATCAGTCAGTAACTATTAAGGTGGGCAAGTTATGCAGCATTGCATCAAGCAATCATCATCCAACACTTTCCAATGCATTTTACCCATCACTTCCTAATTGCTAAAAGTATAAGGGTTTTTGCAGACTGGGCTCGGGGCAGGCAGGTTTGTTGCACAAGAGCACCAAAGTGATTTTAAATGCATAACCTGAATTTCCCAGTAGGTGTTTGAATTCCACCTGAAAATAGCAACAGTCTGGAATCACCCTTGCCCAATGGTCTGAGAGAGTCTGTATGTCAGCTTCAAATATTCCTATACTATTTGGCCACAGAACTCTTTGAAATGTCACTTAAGGCTTAAGATGCTTCTCACAGGACATTTTAAGGAGATATGACTTATGTGAACTACTGCCTCAGAAAAAAGCTTGCATAGCCATGAATAAACCCTTCCCACCTGTTTGACTTCAGAAACAGCAAATGTGCTGCAATCTGCTATGAAGGGAACCGTAGAGACTCATTTTCATTCTAGGCTTTGGAAGAAGTGGTGCTTCCAAGGAGTGAGCTAGGAGGATTGGGAATCAGCACAATTAAGCAAGAATCAACCCCATCAAGGTTCCTAGAGGCTCATCTAGTCCACCTCCCTGCAATGCAACTAAAGCATCCATGCCAGATGGCCATCCAACCTCTGTTTAAGAAAGTTCTTCCTGATCTTTAGTCTGAATCTCCTTTCTTGTAACTCTCATCCATTGGTTAAGGTCCTACCCTCCAGAGCAGGAGAAAACAAGCATATTCTATCTTCCACGTGACAGCCCTTCAGATAGTTGAAGATGTCAAAGGCTAAAAGGCAGAATGTAAGGTGTCTGTCATGTGCCTATTGTGAGTTGCTTTATATTTTGTGTGTGGATGAAGGATATGCAACTAACACAAGGGCTTAGGGACATTTGTAACAGTAAGTTGTGTTTGTTTTGTGGCTTTTAATCATCAGGAATACCAGCTCCTTGGGAGCCAGCCCTTTTGGCCCCCCCAAATATTTTGGGGGTGAGGGCTACTGCCCCTAATGTCCAAAAGGAACAGAGGCAAAGCGTGGAGCCAAGCATGGAATGGCTGCAGTGGCTGACTCCTTCTCCTCCTGCTGCTGTGGAGGGGAAAGAGGGTCAAAAAACCCTCCTGCCAGTAGCTGCACCCCAGCTCCTCCTGACGTCATGCGTGCAACATTGCCCTCTCCCCATCGCCCTTGCAAGCTGGCCCCTCGGCTTGATGCATACCTTTTGTATTTTTCCTACTTAGATAATCTCATGGTCTTATGATAGTCTGCAGATTCCTACTGAGGAGAAAATTAAATGCTTCACAGAAGAACTGGACCCAGGCAGCACTTATTTTGGAGACTGGAAGCACTGGCCCATTACTACATTCCAGAGAGGAACTGAATAAGCCACCTTAGCCAAACTTCCCAAAGCAAATGTACCTCTGGGGAAGAAGGAGCTTCTCATACTTGTAACTGGGAACTTGCACGCTTGCCTTAGAGAGCACGAAGCTGCTGCCTGGGCATGCACATTAAAGGTGCACCACTGAGGCTATGAGGCAATCGCAAGCTGGGTGCACAGCAAATGGGAGCAGCAGGAAGCATCACAGCTCCATGGTTATTCTGCATGTAGAACTGCAGTCTCCAGTGAGATATCAGGGTTGACATGCTTTATGTATTGTTTTTTATTGGTACCTTTATATTCTAACCTTCTTCCCAGAAGAGCCCAGAATGTAGCTTCAGCTTCCAAGAGCTCCTAACCCTAACCCTAACCCTAGAGCCTGGCCACAATGGGCTCCTTCATGTATTTTACATTTTCTCCATTGGGACCTTGGAGGATAAAATAAAGAGGTAAGAATTTTTTTCTGAATTCTTTCCCACCCTCAATAATTTTAGGGAGAGGTAGAATCAGCTCCAGACGCAGGTGGCGCTGTGGGTTAAACCACAGACCCTAGGACTTGCCGATCAGAAGGTCGGCAGTTTGAATCCCTGTGACGGGGTGAGCTCCCGTTGCTTGGTCCCTGCTCCTGCCCACCTAGCAGTCCGAAAGCATGTCAAAGTGCAAGTAGATAAATAGGTACCACTCCGACGGGAAGGTAAACAGTGTTTCTGTGCGCTGCTCTGGTTTGCCAGAAGCGGCTTAGTCATGCTTAGTTAGCTGTACGCCAGCTCCCTTGGCCAATAAAGCGAGATGAGTGCCGCAACCCCAGAGTCGGCCACAACTGGACCTAATGGTCAGGGGTCCCTTTACCCTTTACCTTTAGAATCAGCTCTCTGATCTCATTAATCTCAGAGTACAAAATACAGTCCTGATTCAATCTCTTAATGCTTATCTCTTCTCCCTGTACATTAACATTCACCTGCTAGTGCCAGCTAACAAAAGCAATCTTTCCACTCAATTTTTCCTATTTGGGGGGCCATCACCACCACCACCATCATCATATAAATTTATATACCACCCTTCATTTGAGAATCACAGTATACAAACACAAAAATACATAACACAATAACAAACAAAACAATACCCTCTTGGAGGTCCCAGGCCACAGAGAGGTTAGGCTGGCCTCAACCAGAGCCAGGGCTTTTTCGGCTGTGGCTCCGATCTGGTGGAACGCTCTGCCACAAGAGACTAGGGCCCTGCGGGACTTGACATCTTTCCGCAGGGCCTGCAAGACAGAGCTGTTCCACCAAGCCTTTGGCCAGGGCACAGCCTGACTCCCTCCTTTGGCAATCTTCACAGAACTCTAGCCCAATGGTTGCCATCAATTTGATTTGAATTAATTTTATAATGAAATGATTTTAGAATGTTGTACTATTTTATTGTTGTTAGCCGCCCTGAGCCCAGCTTCGGCTAGGGAGGGTGGGATATAAATAAAAATTATTATTATTATTATTATTATTATTATTATTATTATTATTAATTTAAAAGGGCATAGATTGTTTAATCAGCCCAAGGCCTGGGTGAAAAAGAATGCTTTCACTTGGCACTTTAAAGATATTGTTATAGATTTGGGGGGTGCACTGAACCCTAAAAATTAATAAGTGGTAGGATTTTGAGTATTTGGGATGTGAAAGGAAAATACAAGCTGCAGAGGAATTCCTGAGCTAGCCTATGAAAAACGGCCTGGCCAAGCTAGGGCCATTAAGATACAATACAGGGCCACTGACAAGGCAAGAGAGCGGTCCTTGCTCCTTGCCCTGAGGTGTGAACAGAGACTGGGGGTTTGGAAGGTTGCCGGGTAAACTGTGTGCTTGAGGTGACAGGAAAAGAGAGTTTTTGGAGCAAGGTGTTAAGGGAAGAAGAAGGGAGAGGAAAAGACTGGGATCCATCTTGGGCAGGGTGGCTGCAGGCTGGCAGGGGGAGAAGCCTTGAACTCAAAGGCTGTGCTGCTGTGGGGTTCAAGCCCCTCTTGTAATGACCTTGTTGTAAGATGTGGACTCCCTCCAGGCAGCCTGAAGGTGTAAATAGGTAAATAAGCCACATTTGTTAAAGCTATTACAGTCTCTGCCATGTCTCAATGCTCCAAAACAGTGGCGTAGTGTGGGGGGGTGCAGGGGGGGCCGGCCGCACCGGGCGCAACATCTGGGGGGCGCGCTCGCACTCGCAGCTCTCTGCCCCTACCTGGCTCACTCACTCTCTCTCACTGCAGTGCTGGCTGTGCGAATCCGATCCGAGCCGCTGGGTCGCCGCCCACTGTGGAGGGGGTGGGTGCCAGGCGTGCGGTGCAGAGAGAGAGCGAGGGACCATCTGGGGGAGGGACAGTGCAGCGGCCGCCCAGCGCAGCGCTGAGCGCGGGAGAGAACCACACCAGACCAGACCAGGCAGGAGCAAAAAGAAGCTGGCAGCGGCGGCAGGTTAGGGGTTAGGGGGCGCAAATTACTTGCCTTGCCCCGGGTTAGGGGGCGCAAATTACTTGCCTTGCCCCGGGTTAGGGGGCGCAAATTACTTGCCTTGCCCCGGGTGCTGACAACCCACGCTACGCCACTGCTCCAAAAGAACAAAGACCCTGGACGAGTGCCTGGAACCCTCAGGAATCTTGCAGAGAGTGGGGTGGCACACACCTTTTGTAACAATATGTAATGAAGCTGTCTCTGGGGAGAGCATTCCACAATGTTTGGCTCCAGCCTATTGCAGATCAGGCTGCAGGGATCCTTCGTGAACATCAGACCTTTCTGATTCCCTGGCTTCCAAACACAAGAGAAATTGTCCCTTTAAAAAATCTGCTCTTTCCACAAGCACCTGCACTTTTGCTCCCTGGTAGATTGAGACTTTACTATTCCTGCCTTCTGAAACTGCCTTCCAGTTTTCAGCTTTTAAAGATTCAGGATTCCCCATTAGCCCTAGCTGGAAACATCAGGCCCATTTTTTATTTTTAACTGTTATCTGCCTTTCCCCTTCCTTCTCTATTTTCATATTTCACTTTATTTGTCCTTGACTCTTTCTTCCTGTCTCTTTCAAACAAACATAAGTGAGAAGAAAATGGTGACGGCTCTTTTGGGAGGGATGTGCCTTAGAGTGGGCGCAACATGGTTGTGAAACAACTCACCAGAATGATACTTCTTTCTCCTGCTGAAGCCCCCTTCAGCATTTCAAAACACAAGTAGGGAAATGGGACATGAAAAACAACAACAAAAAACAGCCTGAACACTATTAGGTATAGTACATTGTCTCAGACAGTGGGGTCACATTTATTTTTGTTGAAACAAAGTAATACTACAGCTTTCATGGAAGCAAAGCTCTGAGCCAAGAAACACACTTTCTTCTAACGCCTCTGCCTGCCTTCAAACCCACTGATAGTGATGGTCAGTCAAATTACCTCTCTTCTGGTCTAGTGTCCACCCCACCCTCTTCATCTCATTACTGTAATTGGCTTGGACTCTTCACATTTCTTAGAGCAAATACTCTTTGGACAGAATGTCTGTCTCTTCTAATTCCAGACCAGCACATCCAGCTCCTGGATAAGGAGAGAGGGGAAGCACCAAGTGCAAATGGAAACTACTGTACAGTATAAACGTCTTTAGAAGGGAAAGATCCCACATGAAATTCAGAGCAAAATATTGATGTGTCAGAATAAATAAATAAAAATCCCACAGGAGAGCCTGTGAGAGAAAGATGGGTTTAAGTGCCAGGAACATTTCTCACTTGTACTTGAAAAGTGATTCTGGTTCTCAAACTGTGTGACACTGAAGTTTGCTAATGGCTAGGATTATGTAGTATGTCCAGAAAAAAATCCAAACCACTCAACTCTCCAACATCGGAAACTGGAGATGTTATGTGGCAGAGGATCACCTGTAGACCGTATAAGTGGCTTTGGAGAGCCCTTCTGTAATTCTGTAATTATTTCTTATTTTAGTTCTGCTCCCAGCAAATTTATCAAAATGTAGGAGAACCGCAAATGTAGCAAAGGCTGCTCAGGATTGCACAGAGTTGAGTGAAAGGATTTCATTTGCTTAGCAAAGGATGTCTCTGTGAAAGTGATACACATCTGAGGCAGCAGGGCTGGTTTGCAGGACCAGGACAAACCATGAGGCACACAGAGCTCTGTGTGGGAATGACTGTGGGGCTCCTGAAGAGCAGTCAGGGAGCTATCGCTGTTTCCCCAAGCATATGCCCACTGAGGCAGATGCCTCACTCTCCATAATGGTAGAGGCCCTGACTTTGAATTACAGAGAATCTAGAAGCCTCATTTTTCTGTTGCCAATTAGTTTTGGCCATATTGTAGGTTTGGAGCTGTGTCCAAGCCATTCCTGTCCTTCCTCCAATTTATACATCACACAAAAACACACACACACTATCTCCTTTCCCACAGTCGCTTGGAATTACTTGTCCTGACAGACTTTGGTAATCTTCTGCAATGGCCTCAGTATATGAAAGTCAAATGTACCTCTGGGAGCTCTGTGTCACCTGTAATCACAGCACCCCCCTGTTCACAGAAGCACTTACAATGGCCGCACAGAATACACCACTGGAAATGTTGTCAAGTTTTAACTTTGTGATATTATTCTCTTTCAGCTCAAAAGGATTTGGAAGAATAATTGACTTTGGGAACAAAGAAATGTAGAAGTCTCCCCCACCCATCCACCCGTCTTGTCAGCCACTATCTGTATCTAATTACAAGAGCCGCCACATCTTAGTGAATTCCAAAAAAGATAACTTGTGAGGGTGCACAGTATGCATAGTTAATTTTAAAGGTAATTCTCAGTACAGACCGTACTTCTTCAAAAAAAATATTTTGCTTGCATGTGTCCAGTGCTCAAACCTCTGGCCCCAGTGCATACTTGTAACATTCAAGCCCCCCCCATCAGTGACCCCTTGTCTAGTACAGTATTTATAAATTTCACTTACATTTGCTCTCTGCATAATGTAATCAGTGGAATTAATATTACAAAAATTCTTCCAACATTTCTTTTGTATAAATAGTTCTCCTCTGAAGATGAATAGTTGGTCTAACAACATCTGGTGAGCCACAGGGTTCCTATCTCCGTTCTAAATGCTCTGGACAGCAAGGGCCCAATCCACTGATCCAGCATATTCCTTGTCCAGCAAATTCTGCCAGCTGCCCTGCCTTTCCATTACACTGGAATGCCAATGCCCTTGATGCTGGTTCCTTCTTCTTTCTGTCAATCAGCTGCCAGGGATGTAATCCTTGAGAGAACATGTCTTATAGGGTGGCACACTGTGGTGTTCGTACAGAGTCCCCGGCCGTCTCACAGACTATTGACCTGTACACCACTAATCCACTGCCACCAACCAGGTCCTCCCTGGTAGAATCATTTCAGTCTCAGTCAGCTTTTCAATTAATAAAGAAGAGTGTATTTTATTTCAGACACAAACAAAACTTTTACGGCATTCCAAATGTTGTTGCTCTTTACTTTCTTAGTCTTATTTTCCTCTCTCTATCTCTTCTACCTCCCCACACTCAAGAACCCACTGTCCTATCTGTCTCTCTATTACCAACTGCCTTTCCCAACCAGCCAAGCCATGAAATCCAACCAACTACCCACCCACAACTCCCAACCAACTCCTCCCAGAACTAGTTTTATATGACTCCACCCCCCTGGGTCCTGTCTGTGCAACCTATTTAACTATTTCCCCTCCAGCACTCTCTCATATATGGTAACGTCACACACACATCACCCAGTATCTCAAACCTAGGAATTCTAGAGTTTCCAGAACAAGTGCACCCTCTAAGCCAAATCAGTCAATATCTGTTGTTGTTGTTGTTGTTGTTGTTGTGAATTAAATTTGTATACCACCCTTCATCTGGAGATCTCAGGGTGGTTCACAACATAAAATACAGAATAAAACCACAAAATACATAATTAAAACAAGAGCAAGAACAAATCAAACCAAACCAACAACCTCCCTACAGGTAAAAGGACTATTAATCAGCCAGAGGCCTTGTTGAAGAGGAACATTTTTGCTTGGCGCCTAAAGATGTGTAAGGAAGTTACCAGAGGACTCTCCCAGGGGATGGGGAGCCACAGCAAAAAAGCCCATGAAAATATGGACACCCTCTGGATCTCTCACAGAGGAGACACACAAAGAAGGGCTTTAGAGTCCAAGTTGGTTTATATGGGGAGAGACGGTCCTTGAGATATCGCAGTTCTGAGCTGTTTAAGGCTCAGGAATTGAGGCTGGAAACTAACTGGCACCCAGCGCACTCAGGCCAGGATTGGTGTAATATGTTCAAACTGTCTTGCCGCAGTGAGCAACCTGGCTGCCAAATTCTGCACTAGCTGAAGTTTCTGAACTGTCTTCAGAGGCAATACTATGTATACGCGTTGCAGTAATCTAACTTAGAGGTTCCCTGTTGTCTGTGGATGTATATTGGAGGTGGGGCAGGAATGCTCAGTGGGTGTGCTCTTTCTTTACCCTGCATGCTGTGCAGAGGGAGAGAGGGAGGGACAGCTTATGTTCAGCTGAACTTTGTTCATTCTCAGATGGACCCCATGCCTGACCCACTAAAGGAAAAACAGTCAGTTGAGGAGTCTGTCGGTATGGTAGTTGGGGCATAGAGATCTGGAGAGCCTCTTGCTATGCCAAACCTTCTTCCAGCAAAAGAGCAACCAGCTGCCAACAAATTGCATGACGCACTTTAAAAAGCACCTAGGTTTCACTCCTAGTCTCATATGCGCTCTGCTGCACGTCTTCTATAAGCAGCCAGTGATTCCATTTGCAGAGTAATTTAGCAACATATTGATTCAATGATCCACAGACAAGTGACCTCGCTGTGCTGTGTATTTCAGGAGAGGAGTTCAGACTATTGCATTAATATTTTAACAGATTTACCATGCAGTCACTCTGCTGAGAGAAAATCATCGTAAGAACTGGTGCAGAGGAGATGGGTTTTGCACAAGAAAAGACTAACAGTGCCATTAACAGATTTTTGCAGCAGCAACAGCACCCCTTTGCATGGCCCAGATTTCCCCAAGCTGGTGCCCTCCAGATCTTTAGACTACAACTTATTCTGTCATCTCTGGCAGTCTAACAGCATTATGAGGGCACCAGGCTGGGGTAGGCTGCAGTAATCTGTGGTTTGATCTTTGTTGAAACATTTGCTTGCGACTATTTCGACTGTTTTCTCTTACAAGCATTTGTACCTGCTGACAAACCTTGTTAGGCTATCACCAATGGTACTATCCTTCTGTGGGACTACTGATTTTAAATGCATGAAACCACACATACACTTTTGCAGGACTATTTGGGCACCACAGAAAGTGCAGGGAATTTCTAGCCAATTGTGCAGCTGGAGGCTGAAAACTACTCATATTGGGGGTGGGGGATGGAAGCTTACCTTTGCAGTAGGAGGTGGCAAAATTACTGGTCAGTGGGATCAACCTTCTCCCTCTCCCTCCAACGGTGTCCCAGTGCATTGTTTCCATTTGGTCATTCTCTAGGAAGGCGTCACTAGATTGCTAGGGTCCTGACCGCAGCTCCACTTCTTCTTGAAATGTCAGCAAAGTTTTCCCCCTTCTCCCTGCCTTAGTTAAAGGAAAGTAACTGAAGCTCTCTGCTGCTACTTCTTATTGTGGAAAGTCCCTCAGAATGAATGGATTTTACCAGGAGTAGTCCATCCTGTCTCACAGCCTAAGAAAAAACAGGAAAGTGCCCCCTTTCCCTGAAGCCTTGCTTACTGGCATGGCGTAGACGGGTTTTTTGTTGGGGGGGGGGAGAGAACCTCAGTATGTATTTTTATCTATTTTTATTGATTTAGGGGACAGCTGTCCTTTCCTGCCCGCCCCCTTGGCTCATGCTTACTGGGGCCATGCGGCTGAGGCCAGTGGCAGACCCCAGGGCCCCAAATTTCAGCAGCGGCACCACTGTGAGACATACTGTCTGCTTAAAACATTTTCGTTTAGACATAAATTGTATGTTGGCATACGTTTTAATCTTTTTGTTCACAGTTGTCTTTAATGTTTTTGGGAATGTTGTTAAATGCCTATTTTTATTGATATTTTTAATGTTTTTAATTTTTTGTAAACTGCTCACAAAAATTATTACAGTCAAGCAATATACTAATTTAGTATAATAAATGAATAAATATCTGCTTTAGGAGTGCTGGTTGTTATATGCTTTAGATATTGTATGTTTCTCTTTGTAAGCTGACTTAATTCCATTACAGTGGTACCTCGGGTTAAGAACTTAATTCGTTCCAGAGGTCCATTCTTAACCTGAAACTGTTCTTAACCTGAGGTACCACTTTAGCTAATGGGGCCTCCTGCTGCTGCAGCGCCACTGCCATATGATTTCTGTTCTCATCCTGAAGCAAAGTTCTCAACCCGAGGTACTACTTCCGGGTTAGCGGAGTTTATAACCTGAAGTGTTTGTAACCCAAGGTGTTTGTAACCCGAGGTACCACTGTACTTGCGGAAGGGCAGAATATATGTTTTTTAAACAGCAAATACATAAAGTTTGATAGAGGAATGTATTCAGAAGCTCTGTGTGCATGTTGGCATTTGATTTAAGTGGAACCACAGTCCAGAAGGTTGCAGGGGCAACAGAATTCACCTGAGCTATATTCAACCTTTCCTTCAGCTCTGCATTTGTTGCAGCATTTAAGTAAATGTCTCACTCAGGGACCTTTAATGGAAAGGCTATAGGATTCTGTTTCTGCTTCATCAGTTTGAATCACATCCCAAGCAAAACTAAAAGGCTATTTTACAACTTTCAGTAGAATACCATACATATTGCTGGAAAGAGTTTCAGGCTCGTACCATATACAGTGATACCTCAGGTTAAGTACTTAATTCGTTCCGGAGGTCCGTACTTAACCTGAATCTGTTCTTAACCTGAAGCACCACTTTAGCTAATGGGGCCTCCCGCTGCCGCCGCGCCACTGGAGCCCGATTTCTGTACTTATCCTGAAGCAAAGTTCTTAACCTGAAGCACTATTTCTGGGTTAGCGGAGTCTGTAACCTGAAGTTTATGTAACCTGAAGCGTATGTAACCCAAGGTACCACTGTAGTCACATTACTGTATAATAGTTCCGGATTTACAAAAGTTGTCCCAGTTTCTGATTTGATCCTGGAAGGAATGTCCTGCTTT